AAAAGATCCAACTGCAACCAAGTGGAGAGTGATCTCAGAAAACTGAATGACAGATTAATGAAATGACATATGAAACTCACCAGCAGCAAAGACAAAGCAAGGAGCATGAGGAACACCAACCCCAGCCATGCAAAGACCAACAGGGGGTCTAACTTAACATCAGTCAGGAAGGAAACCTGAGAGTCACCAAGTTTGCTGAAAACTCCAGCCCACCGCTCAACAGATGTCAACGAGGCAACAAAGAGCTTTAGGAATGACTACAGAATGAGGAGAGAATGAAAAAGTGACCATTTCTAGGGTATCCCTGCCTCAAATGCAGAGTGCAGCTCTGCATACACCGAGGAGGATGTAGAAGAACCAGTGAAGATACAGAAGAGATGGCACTGAAACATTCAATGGTTTTCATAGGTGGGCAGGCTACCTACAGTAGTGTCCTTCTGCTTGGTTGCCTCTACTGAGAAGGGATGTGAGAGAGGTCCCATCAACTCATGACCAGCACAGAGGTGTGAACAGGAAAGCATTACTTGTCGTGTGTCCTATCACAAGAGAAAGGGACCACAACTCCAGTCTGTTGGAGGTCTAATGCAAAGAAAAGGAAGGGGTTCTTTCACACAATGCAAAATTGAATTACGGCACTCGTTGTCACAGGATGCTGTGAAGGCCAGAATTGTAAAAGAATTCCAAAAGGGGTTAGCCAAATTCTTGGACGCTCGACACATCTGCAGCTGTTAAGCACAATGACCCAGATGCCAGTCAAAAATTCACTTAACCGCAGTCTGCTCACTACCGGGCTGGTAATACCACAGAGGGATCATGCTGTGCTTGCCCTGTCCTTACACCCTCTCCCAAAGCGTCTGCTTCTGAAATGAGCTACTTGATTAGCTGGAGCTTTGGTCTGAGCCATTATCACTGCAATAAGGCATTACATATGATATAAAATGTACATTAAGAAACTACAATTTATTGCAGGTGATGATTAAGTTTGTTCACGTGACATGAATGTCTTGCCTTTGGCAGGCGCTAATACTGATGCCTTGGGAGAAAGACGTTTCTGTCCTAAAAAATCTATCTGTCATGCCCCTGGCAGTGTGTACCAAAGACCAGCTCTTTCCAGATCTCCCACAGATGCTCTGCTAAATCCATAAACCATGACAGTGGATTACCTTTATCATTGATTTAACTGTCACCACTAAAAGTAGTTAGCAGTCATGAAATAAGCCAGCAGCTGTATTCGAAGCAATGTCCTCCCGAGGCATATATTTCCTTTTAATAGTTCTTAAATTAATTCTCCTTCATTGCATGAAGCATGCCTTATTCTCACTTTGCAGGATGAGTAAAACGGAAGTACTGATCACTTTCTATCTCACGCACCATAATTTTGTACGCTCAACTGCTCTCCCTTCTGCCGCTTCTCCTTTCCAGCTGACACAGGCCAAAATGACACGGCAATGCCTTTCACCATGAGGAAGTCCTTTTCCCACTGAGGTGTGACTGCTGCTCCGGACACAGTGAGGGAGAAGGTCATGGGTCTGGGCATGAGTTATGCATCGCCTGCCAGAGGGCAGGAGGAGAGGTTCAGGTGAGAATCCCTTGCTTCCATGGCTGGACCGCACTGGCACCAGAGTGCTCGCCTTGGTGTCTGCGCTCGGCTTGCTACGTGCAAAACCAGCCTGTGTTTTTCATTGCTACCAGTCTAGCATCTCCTGCCAGCTCTAAGCATTTCCTTTTTTTAAAACAAACAAACAAACAAAAACAACCAATGTTTGATCGTTTACTTTTGGGGCTATGCTAAACTTGCCAGCATCTGTTCCATCTGAAAGGGTGTAAAAAACACCAATCCCGGACTGGGAAAGAAAGGAAAAGGAACTAGGTACCAAGTAGTAATGTGAGAAACAAAGCCAAGAAAAACAGCATCTCGACAGATATTAAAGACAAAAATGAACATGGTAAACAGGAGCAGAGACAGATTTCAGGAAGACAGTGACTAAAGCACCAAGAGTGAAACAGTGTACACATGGAAACCAAGTCCAGAGTCCCAGGGTTTCTTTGTTCTTGTTTTTCCTGCCATTTCACAGAAATCATGATGCTGTCAAGATCCCTCTATACCCAAGGGTCAGTGATGTCAATGAAAGTTGGTGGAGCTGCACTGATTTATATCCATTAAGAAGCAACTTTCTGAGATTTCCCAGAAATACCGGGGTTTAAAATACTGCTCTGAGAACCCAGTTGAAAACAGCAGCTGGGATTATTCTTAAACCAGGCCATACTAGAAGTTAGATAAAAAATAATTAAGAATACCTCCATTATTTTTTAATAATTGCAAAATTCCTAACTTTGGATGGTCACATTGAAAACACAACCCTAGAAAAACATGTGCGTGATGCTTTTCTACCAGTTTGAGAGTCACGGCAAATGCATACAGAGCTCTACAAATTCCAGCTCAACAAACAACTTTAGAAAGCAAAATAAGTAAATATTATCTCTATTGCCCCCAAGCTTTTGTTTAACTTTTGGGATTTACCATCCCACCACTCTCCCCTTCCTTCAAAATGTGATAGGTGGATTTGAAAATAAAAACTTCAGAATGAGGACCTAAATTTTTTTTAAAAAACTCATCATTGTTAGTTGGGAAGAAAAAAATTATTTTTTTTCCCCCGAGTGTTTGCCAGGTTAAACTAGAAGCTGAAAATATTTAGGGGTTCTGTTTGCAGGTGAAACCCCTCATCTCCCTCATTCTGACTACCTGTGCAGAATACAAAGCCTTCTATCGCTCAGGTGCTGTGAGCAGGCTGTGCAGGCGACAGCCCAGGGATACGCACGTCTCAAAGGTGCAAAGGAAACACAAAGCGAGTGAAGTACAAAGAGAGCGAGGGGGAGAAGAGACCAAGGATCTGGTTCCGCAGCCTAAGCAGCACGGTCAGGCTGGTCTCTACTTCTCCCTCTCCCTCTGGCATGGCCCCACAGACCCCTGGCCGTTCCCTCCCCAGCCCACACTGAGTAAATAGCGTCTGTGGCAGGTTCAGTGCCGGTGTCTGAGGGCACAGGCAGCGTGCTGGGTGCTCTCACAACTGCTCCTGCTAGGGATGAGGTGCATCCCCACCTACTGCATGGGCAGCGGAGCCCCCAGCATGTTTCAAGCTTGCTGAGGCATCTCCACAGCACGGGGCAGCCAGCACTGTACACACACTGCCAGTCCAGCTAAGCCTGTACATTTCCAGTATTTTTTTAATTCTCAAATTATATTTTAAAGGAGAGAAGCTATCACCCCTGGAATCCCTCCCTTCCACCCTCCCTCTTCCCCTTTCCTCTTTTTCCACCACTGCCTTAATCTGGCGAGGGCCTCTTTCAGATCAAGGTGACATGGATGGAGTGCTCATCTGGTAACGACTAAACTACGCTTGACCGTTTTCACTCCGTAGACCTCTCTTACTGTCAGATTTTATAACCCAATTACTACAGACTTGGGTTAGATTCAGACAGATTGCCTACCAGCGAAAGGCTCAATATCCCATTATCAGATTTGTGAGCCCACCATTTCTCTTCATTTAGTATGTAATAGAAAGTGTCAGTAATGTCCTATGGACTTAGGCTTTAAAATGAGTCTTTAACTATGCAAGTCATATGTGTATATAGCAGGAGAAAAGACTCCACAGAATCATCTGCAGGACAATTTTAAAACATTTTTTATTTAAATATTAAATAAAACACATTGACTAATCATTTTGGTGTACACCTCATTTTAACATAAGAAATAAAATGATTGTTCAGTCATGATAAAAAATAAACTATACATCTTAATTAAACCAATCACGTAGTGTCTTTAAATACCCTATTGCATTGCAGTCTGCAGAACAGCACTGTCAAGATATCTACAAAAAACCCCAAACTTTTAAAATGACCTCTTTCTGCTCCAGCAATAATTCCAAAGAGGTTCTACAGCAATTGGAAAAGAAAAAAAAAATACTATTAAAGTAAAGTGCTTGTCATTGCTCAGGACAGGAAACAAAAGAATCTGTGGCCTTTTGATCCATGGCATTAAACAAAACAAATATTGAAGAGGAAATTCTGCGTTTTCAGTATGTATGCTACACCCCTTACAAAACTGAAGGCAAAGTTGCTGCTTTGTGATGAGCTGGCTTCTTCTTGCCCTCCTCTCCAGCCATCTCCACGCAATCTGGTTTTTGGGTTGGTTTTTCTTTGTTTTAAACCACTACAAATGAGCATGAGACTTTGGTGTTTTCTCTGCTGCAAGGCACCACTCATTAACAAAAATTCAACTCAAGCGATTTTCTCTCACTTTGAAGCTTCCAGACCACGTAGCAGCAGTGGCAAGCTGGAGATGCACCAATATGGACACAGATAAAGAGGTTGTTTATGGAGAGCCACAGACAGAGCCACATGACATCATCAACCCTTCCTACTCCCACCAATTAACCTGGTCAATCTTTGGCTTTTTTTTTTTTTAAAAAAAAAAAACAAACACAACAAAACGAACTAAAAACCAGGTATCTATATTATTTGCAAATGCGTAATACTGCAGGTTGCATGAAGCCAAGGTAACTTGAAGGCACCCTGTGTCACACGAGAGAGATGGGTCCTTCAAGTATTTAGACAGAATGCAGCTATTTTCTGACATTCGGATGGCAGCTTCTAGCCAAGCTGGCTCACCGTTTGCTCACCTGCTTCCAAAGTCTGCACGCCCTACCCGAGTCATTCCTGTAGGAGCACAGTCTGTTCTCCCTTTTATGCCTAAGCGTAACTTCTACTGATACCAACAGAAGTCATGCTCTGCCCTGGGAGGCGAGTGGGGTTTATACCAGAAACACAATATAAGCATATTACAAAATATAAAAAATAACTAGTGTTATATAGTTTTCTGCTTCCTATTTATATACATATACAGCATTAAAAACCATACGAAAAACACCTATCTAATCCAAAACCTCATTTTGCTAATATGCCAAAAACAAACCAGCCAAAAACAAACACCCAAAGATTGTGCTGTTTTACTCACTTTTAATACAGTTTTGTTCAGAAATAGCTGTACTCTGTTAGAGTAGAATTCTGTTCTAGACTATTCCTTTTGTCTTTGTCAGTATATAATTATAACCTCAATATTGCACATTTCCCCAAGAGTCAGTTCTGTTTGGACCCTGATAATGAAATGCATAAAAACATAATTAGCAGCGGATATAACAATGTGCAGCACTAAGAAATACCCCTCAGGCAACTTTGTAAGCAACCTCCAGGAGGGCTTTTGAAAAAGAAAACCCTTCCCATCACCCCACCGGTACTAATGTTTCCCTCCTCAGTGCCTCTGCGAGAGTATGAAAAAACTTAGCGTTTATAAAAAGATTCCTAAAGGTTATTCAGACCAACAAAATAAATGCAGGTGTGCACGTGTGTACATGTATATACACACACACTGCCCCCAAACAAACATCCCTGCAAAAGACCAGACATTATGCAATTTGGATCCTGATGTCAAGGGATACATTTTGAAAAGGTTACTTGCTTCTGTACTAATTAGAAGGCGAAAGGGGGGGGGTTAAGCTTTTCCAGCTGATGTATCAAGCAAGAAGTTCACAGTTTACATTTAAAGTATGCATATCTGGGAGGTGTGGAATGGGGATGTTGGTTCCTTTAAATAAAATGAGTGTTAACAGGAGGAAAAAAAAATGGCAATGCTTCCATTTTTGTCTTCTATGAATGCATAATGCTGCATGCCACTGGTTTTCTGTTTATTTTCTTTAAAAGAGGTAATCATCTTCACAAACCCATAAATGAATATTGTGAAAAAGGGAGGCTCTGGTCCCTTCTTTGAAAAGCCTCTCCCTGCTGTGTCACCACTACTGACAGCTGCTAATCTTGCATAACAGCAGAGCTGTATTGGTCTGACTTGAGTACAGTACCGAAGACTTCTTCCCCAACCACATCCCTCCCTGTCCCCACAAATGCCCCACCCACCTTCCCCAGCATTATTTTTCCTTTAAAAAATTCAGTTTCTATTCATATTTGTTCAGTGCAAGAATAGTAGAAGCAAAAAGACATACATATTGCTTGTTTCAGTTCTATAAAGTTGCTAGCTTTCCGAGCCAGACAGCCTCTTCACATACTTCAAAATTTATTGCTTCTGAAAGTCACTCGTCCACACGACACCAGCCAGCCATGGACCCACACACGCCATGGAACAGTGGTGAAAGTTCTTCGCAGCAAAAGCAGCGTGAGCTGTAGCAGCCGGGGCTCTTATTTGACCAGGACAAACTTCCCTAGCTGGTTGGAAGTCAGGTCCTCCATCTCACAATCCCCGTGCTGCAGAGTGACAGCGTCATAGCTTGGAGACTGTGCAGAGAAACTCTGTTGCTGAGAGAAGGTGGTGCCAACTGGAGAGACGTTGCTGCTGATGTACAGGTGTGTGTCTAAAAGATGAGCTGCTGAGGACACCGGTGACACGCTGACACCAAAGAAATGAGGTCGGAGCAGTTGGCTGTTGCCAGCAAAGGCCAGCTCAAATGAGTTCTCTCTTTGTAGCTCTGACAACAGAAGAGAATTGGATGCTTTGCAGGTACCTACGCTATCAGAGGAGGCGACGCCATTTGTTGCAGATGTCTGAGAAGTCTGGGGACAAGCTGTCTGGAGTAGCTGGTGATGCTGGAGCTGGAGCATTCTGAACAAAATCCAAGAACGGAAGAGGTTAACTTGCATTCCTCCTTTCTCACCCCCACCCCTGACCATAATTTCCCCTTTGTTTCCTTCTCTCTGTCAAACCTCTCTTCGCCCAGCCAGTACAATTAAAGCAAGTCAATCATGCCAGGGCAACGTGTTTTCACTTGGCTTTTCCTCATGTCGGAGAGTGCGACTATCACCAGAAAGTTATCTAGTCACCATTTGGCCTGCTAATAATAGAAGTTCTAGAGACAACGTGTGTAGATAAACCGGAAACTCAATTTTCCATCTTGCTTCTATGGGAATGAAGAGGTGCCACCACACATGACATTTGAGGCCACTGGAGCTGTGCCTCCTTTGTGGGCTGTAACTTTTCCAAATTACAAGGTCTCACTTCCTTGCCATGGGAAAATTACAGGAGGAGGCAGAGAAGGAAAGAAATCATTCCCAAAACTAACAAAGAAAAACACAGCTTGTGACGGGGAGAAGTAATGTTTTCCCCCACAGTACCAAATTGCTTCTCAATTCAGCAACCTCCAAATACTTGGACGTCGAGATTTTTAAGTGGAACTGCACATCCTGTGTTATGTATGCCAATGCAGGAAGCCACAAAGGAAGCCAAGCAGTTTATCTGCTGCCACACAGCAAAGATGGAGGACAGGAATCCCCAGTGACTAAACTCCCCAACCTCTTTTGCTGTGTTTACTCCTCCTCGCTTGCCCCTAACCAAAGTAAACCCAATGAAAACAGCACAACTCCTTCTGGACAGCTTCTCACCTCTGCTGCTGTAGCACCTCCTCCAAGAGGCTTCTTCCTTCTCTGCTGCTCCCACTGCTGCTGTACATGCAGGTGTTCGGTTGCGTGTGTTGGAAAGGGCTCATGGCACTCCTTGCTGCCCGAGATGAGGAGGACTGACACACCTGCCGAGCAAAGCCTTTGATTTTATTCAAGCCGAGAAACCCCTTGGCTCGAGCGTTCTTCCGCAGCTGCTGCCTAAAAGCCTTCAAGCCTGTGGGACATGAGGAAAAGAAACGCACTTTAATCCTCCTCAGCATTTGCCTAGGAGCCTGCTTTACAGATCAGCCTTTCTGGGCAGCTGCCTTCATTTGCGCGAAAACTGCGCTAGAAGAGACCGTGACTCTTCAGTTCACGTTCGCCCCTCTGCCTGATGGTCAGAGCAAAATGTATGCGACAGAGGAGGGTTTGGGACAGCTGCACCCTTGTGTAGATGGACATGTGCACAGCAAAGATAGAAATCATGATGCTGATAGAAATCGTGATGCTGTACACTCTGTATTTTAGGATGAAGGCGGAGCCTGCCACCCCCCTCACGACAGCAGAACTGCCTTCACGGGCATGCTTAATCAGTATCTGAGAATCTGTCATCTAGGCACCTTCCTCAGGGCATCCGACTCTCCCTCAGAGACAGATTAACCAAGTGGCTGGCCTCAGTGTAACACCGACACGGGCAAGCAAGCATCCCTTTTCTAGTGGCAGTTGGAAGGGTGCAATCCCCCAGCAATAGAGCGAGGAAGACGTTACCTTGAGTTAATGAGGTATCAGATGCTCGCCTTCCTTCTTGGAAGCTGACAGGCAGGAGAGAAGCACCTCCCATGCAGCCCTGAGCTTGTAACACCGGAGCGTCAGACTGCGAAGCTAGGAAGGGTGACGTCATCCTAGCTGTGGCTGGGCTCCCCGTCATTACTTGACCTGCCAAACAGCTGCTCAGGGCCACTGAGCTGTCATTTGAAGATGAAGTAAGGCAGCTGTCTGAACTAGTTCCCTCTGTGGGGCTTGCAGAAGAGGAAATGACTATACCTATGGAGGGGAAGGAAGGAGACAAAGAACATTCCCAAGATGAGTACAGGAAGGAATAAACATGACATCAGAGCCTTCTGCCCACCTCCACTGGCACTAATAAGCAGCTGCAAGCTGGAAAGGTGTCCAGCAACTCGTGTTGTCACAGCACTTGACTCCAGCAAGGGGTCATCAACGAATAACCTAAGTCTGGGCTCCCAGCCAGCCAGCAGGGCAATGCCAGCAACACCAGCACCACAGGGCTTTGCTGGGTCAGACTTACAGTGTTTCTTTAGCACAGCAGCTCTGACATGGGCGTTTTGTGAATAGTTTTGCTTGTTTGTTTAGTTCATGGGGTCTTGATGTGTACCAAATACCATTAGTGATGATTTTTTTTTTTTTTAAAATTCAGGCACCCCCACCTCCCCCAGTACAACAGAGGAAGCAAGCAGAGAAGGGTTACGTCCTGCTTGTGAGAATTCTTCTCTCTGAAGTGATCTAGATGAAACACAACAGTGGAAGAGCTCTTCCTTAAGGGCCATGCTTATTTATGGGAAGACAGAACTGTGGAGGGCAGAGTACAGACTTCTTTTCTGGGCCCTCCTATCCCAGCCAAGGTAAAATCAACACATGCTTCTCAGGCATTTGTTCGATTTGTCTGCTATGGCACTCCTCTGTCCTTTTCCTCCAACTACAGATGCCATCTCTGCCAGACTTACTTACATGGAGGGGCACGCTGATAGAAATGAGTGGTCACTTCAGCCAGTGTGTGCCTCCTGCTGGTGTTGCTAGGGATGCGGATAGGGTGGTCGTACGCCTTAATTTCATCTTCCAGCTCTTTCTCTTGCCTTACTTCTTCACTAATGGTGGTCTCCAGCAGGCTGTTGGGGGAGATGGAGCGGTTCCGGAAGAGCCCGTTGAAGTTGGGATCCACAGGAAAGAACACAGGCTGCAAAACATGTCAGATCACAGACTGAAGGGTGTTTTGCTTATTTCTGCACTACCTTTTAATACTCTTCACAGCCCTGTGGCATGTCTTCAGCAGGCGTGTTGTTTGAGAGGCTACTACCACACCATGCCCAAATGCCAAACAAAAGATTGGAGGGAGAGAACAACAGAGTCACAACCCCTGTTGTTTTGGATTGGCAGAACAATGGGGGGGGGGAAGTAACACAGAGTTTAGCTGAGAACACCAACCTGTAATGGATTGCTCATGTCACAGTCCATTTCTGCCTGCAAGGATGGCTGAATCAGGCTCTGAGGTTGCTGGTAAAGCAGAGATGATCGCAGGGTTTCACTAGTGAGACTGTCCTGAGGCATCTGGAGGGAGAGCGATGCACAGAAGCCATGACATACACCACAGCTCCACATAACTTTTCAGATACTGCAGGCTCAAGAAATTTCAGAGCCACCTTACGCGCAAGCTTTCTTCAAGTACTTTCTATCAAAATTAACAAAACTAGTCTTTCAATGCCAACACAAAACTCTTTCTCCTAAGTTAGGCAATTTAACTGGAAGTACAATTTGAAAAGGTACCCAGAGCACACTTTAAAGGGGGTGAGGGTGAGGAAAAGAGAAAGAATGTCAGAAAAACACACAAACTGACTCATGGAGTACTTCTGAGAATCCTACACGGTATGTAACAAAGAAACGTAACTGATCCATGCCTAAGAGGGCAAATTTTGATGAGAAGCCTAATCTTCTGGCTCATTATTGACCTGCACTGGGCACAGACTATTCTTTGGACCATGACCCACGGTCACTTCTCAGAAAATAGGCAATTAGTATTCAGTCAGCCTCCTGAGCCGTGTCCTATCAGAGGGCACCAATATCAGAATTGGTTTTCAGAAGCCTGAGAGTTACCATCTGGTATTTTCCCATAGTAAGGGGCAGAAAAAAAGAGAGCCAACGGACACAGCTTCCTAGTAAGTAATGCCCTTTCTTACCTCAGCATTGCTGATCTCGGAGCTTCTCAGCCTTTGCTGACGGCCAGTTGCTGGACGACTCGATAGCTGGCTGCTTCGATACTCCTTGAGGCGCTCCAAGAGCAGGTAATAAATTGCAGCAAAATGGTTGTAGCTGCTGTTTTGCAGAGACTAGAAGACATTGAAAGGATCCTTGAGTTACAGGTAACTCAGGATAAAAGCAGCCAAAACTCATCACTAAGGCCTTATAATAATGTACGCAAAAAAGAAGTAAAAATCCAGAAGGGCAGCAAAGATTTTACTATGCTGTGACACTGAATCAAGGCTAGTCATTGAATGACATATATATGACTGCACCACTGGCATTCCGGTAGTCACTGCAGATGTATCTAAGGGGCAAGCACTTCTCACCTCAACAGTTCTCTGCCTGTCGATGCCAAGCGTTTGCATGATCCCAAGGACCTGCTCATTGTAGTCACCCAGGTTGGAGTTGTAGTTTTGCATGGAGAAGGACAAAGACTGCTGCTGTTGAAGAGATGGGTCAGCTTGCATCCACTTGTGCTGCTTTATTTGGGAAATGGTTATTCGCTTGGTTGGGTCCACAACCAACATCCGTCGGATTAGTGTTTCACAGTCTGGATGACAAAGACAAACTCATGAGCAAGGGGTAAAAATAACAGCCCAGCCCCAGGTCACTGCTAAGAAACCTTCCCAGCAACAGTGTATGATGTCTATGAAAATGGGAATTAAAGGTTTCTGAGCAGCTGATGCCTGATCTGACTACTAGATATACAGAACCGCACAAGAGATGTCCACATATATTTCACAAAAGCAACACGTCACTACAGGAAATGAAGCTGTACTGGATAGCAGCAGGTTTCAGGTGGCCTTGCACCTTGTAGGAGAGCTAGTTTTGAGTGGATGCAGGTTTAATGATGCTACATCCACTTAAAATATGTCAGAATTTAGTAAAGAGCCCCATCACATACAGCTTCCTCGTCTCTGTATACTGTTGTGTAAACTTATTTGTTTTTAACCAGGGAATCAAAGCCATTCATGGCTATAACTGATAAGGTCAGACTTTCAAGAGATACTCTTCACTTGGAGAGAGGCACATTCACTTGTTTTTCAATCCAAATTGGAGAGAGGTGATAATACTCTCTAGTTTGTTTTTCTCACCAGCTTGTTAGAGTGCTCAAGAAACAGTGCTAAGCCCCACTGTTTCTGCTCTCCTTGACAGCATAGCCACACTGAAATATACCCCTTCTGCATAGTTAAAATATCTTAGGAGAACTACACCCATCTCAGTATTGCAGGCTAGTCTCATTAAAATCCTGTTTTCTCTCTTTTGTGAGTGATTATTTCTCCAGCTTGAGTGTCAAGTATTTTTGTAATCCATAGAGATACTCTAAGAAAGGAAAGGACAGCCTTTTAGAAGCACCATAAAGCAGATCCCAGAAAAGAAAACGTGTGCAACCCAGCCCCTCAACTATAAGCGCTGCCCTACAGAAATTACTGGCTGCATAAAGACAAAGTGATTGCCAGCTGCAAAACCAGTCCCATCTGTCATTGCCCCAAGAAGGAACAGACAGCTATTCCTTTATCTGTAGCCCCTTTCTAACATTAAGAATCTGAAAAAAAGCACCTTCAGACATGAAGTAAGGGATGCGGAACCGCCCCTCCAGCACTCTTTGCCTCAGAGTTGGTAGATTGGGTCCATCGAAAGGCAGAGAACCACAGACAAGGACATACAGCACCACCCCAAGGCTCTGTCAATAGAACACAGCACCGCATGTGAGTAATTCCAGTTAAAGCAATGATTTTGAAAGCCCACACATCCTTACAAAGCGTGAAATGCAATTTCTAAGGAATATCAAACTCACCCATATATCAAGGTGAGGTCCTTCATATTCTTTGCCTTCAAAAACTTCTGGAGCTGCATAGGGTGGGCTTCCACACCAAGTAGAGAGGGGCTCTCCTGACTTGTAGAAGTTCCCAAAGCCAAAGTCTGAAATGAAGGTAAAAGTCTGGGGTAAGAGATCACTCAACCAATATTTCAGAAGTAGCAGAAAATGGAGAGAAGGGAGCAGATGTATCGTTTTGTTCTCTGCCTATTCATTTAATCTATTCTCTTTTGTCCAGAATGTATGTTCAGGGAAATGTCAGCAACTTTTGTTTTATTTTCAGTTACCATAAATACATTTATAGAATCATCCTAGGGAGATTGAATTTGACTACATGCCTAATTATAGAGTAACAGTGTATTTCTTATTACCTGCTAACTTGATATTCATGTTAGCATCTAGCAGAAGGTTCTCTGTTTTGAGATCCCTGTGCACTATGTGGTGGCTGTGACAATACTCCACTGCTGAAAGAATCTGCCAGAACTTCTTCCGTGCTTCGCTTTCACTTAAGTGCCCATTGGAGGTCAGATGATCTGCAAGACAAAATAAAAGAAGCACAGGATTTAGCAACACCTGGAGGAAAGTTTTCATAATTCTGCATGTGCTGCACTATTTGACAGCTGACAATGCCAACCCTGGATTTTTAATGAGAATGATAACAGTAAAGCCATGGTTTCTAAATCTAAAGAACTGTTAGCTCCGGCAGTGAGGACTTACCAAACATTTCTCCATTCTTTGCAAACTCAGTAACAATGTAAAGCATATCCTTTGTTTCCATAACCTGTGAAGACACGAGAGGACATGCTTAAAAAAAATTGCAGATCTCTGAAGTTCCATTCACTTTTCTAAGTGTATTCTCAAACATATCAGTTCAATTATTTATTTGCCGCAGCAGCTGGCAGTAAAGGCATCTAATTTTGCACCACAATGCTCTTTCCAAGCAAACTGGTAATGAAAAAGATAACAAATTAATGCTTATGTGGCTACAATATACAGTGGCTTCCCATGCCATTGTTCTTCTTACCATTACCATGCCACCTAATCTCCATAACTGAGATAACCGATGAGCATTTCAATTATTTCATACACTTCCCTGAATTTTGTTACAATATGCATATATAGTTTTACAATTCATTTGACATATTTTGAGCATGCAAAGACACTTTAAGTTTAGAGAAAGTCATCTTTGTTAGCAGGTACTCAGGCCAGGAGAGATATTTGCAACTTGGACAAATCAAGAAATAGTATCAAATACCCCGCTCCCATTTGGTGTTGGCCAGGGGCATGGCAAGCCTCCCGCGCAACGACAATAGGTTGCTGTTTGTGTAACAACAGTGCTTGATGCACGTCAAAAACGGTCAATATATCGCCCAGCGTTCACCTGTCAATCTAGTATCAACTTCCTTTGATACTTGTTAATTTTTTCCTTTGGAGGAAAAAAACCCAACAAACTAAAAACCAAACAATGAACGAGAAATGCTGAGCATTTCCAAATTCATCTTCAGTTGGTATAGCGTACCTTTCAAATATTGCATTTCAGATTTTAAAATACAACTTTTCCCTGGAATGAGACTCTCAAGGAGCAGATATTCTGTTTTGGAAGCATAAGGCTCACAACAGGTAAACAATCAAAAAAGCGTCAATACTACTTCAAAGGTTGTTATTTCCAGGCTCCTAACATGTAACCTTTTTCGAAGACTCTTGTCCTCCCCTCACTACAAGTACACACAGACACGAAATGAAAATAAACAAACAGGGAGCAAAGGAAGAGAGGTTCCCAGTTTAAAAAACTGAAGGAAAGTGTTCTGGGAAAGTTGCCAGCTGGATGAAATTAAGACGCCCGTGCTGAAACTAAAACAATGATGAAATAATACAAGAACACACACCCGACATTGGTATGTCATCTAATTCCATCCCTGCTTCTCAGTCTCCACCAAACAGGTAAAGCATCAGTTACAACAACAAAGAAAAGAAAACTTCACTGAAAAGAAATTATGGTCCACTACCAACGTCACTTGCTCCATCAAGTGAAGTGGTTCAACTAGATGGAATTTAACCTGCTTTTCTAAAAGCTTCAAAATAGTATTTTCACCCACATCATTCCACTGAAATGAAATCAACCGAACTGTTAGAATGTTTCTGTATATCCTATACTGCCCTATGGGCAACAATGACGTCAGATGTTAACACAGAATAATTTTTGTTATGATGGTTAATACTATAAATATCAAGCACTTCATGTGTGTCAAGGTCTTTAAAAATAATGCGTTGCCTAAGCACCTGCCTTACTGGCTCTCCAGCCTTACACGTTAACTAAACTTCCCCCCCCGCCTTTTTTTTTTTTTTTACCAAACAATCCCCGACTTAGTTTTTTTTAAGCTAACAACCCCAGCAGTAGATTGGAGCCGATAATAGTGCACACGGACTTTCAGACCTGCTGCTTCATCCATCTATTCCTCTCTCCTCCCCTCCCTGCCCTTCTAGACAGGTCCAGACAGACTGTGATACCTCATCTTCTTCTTAAATCCACATGGCACTATTTAAGATGATTAAGAGGAACTTACACCAAATGCTAATTAGATAGAATACTTAGAATTTGCAAAGCAGTCCTTACTCGCTAGACAGCTATGATCCTGTTTTCTGCACAACACTTTAATTTGCTCTTACTGTTAAAAATACCCATCAGTGCAGAAACCAAACAGATCTAAACCAAAATTCACGTTGTAAAACTCTACAAGGGGAAAGGTATTTAAAAGTCACTTTCAAAACTACACAAACTGGACAGAATAAACAAACAGGTCATTTTTTCTAACTACACAAACTGGACAGAATAACCAAACAGGTCCTCATATTCTAAGATACCAACATTTACTGGCTTTTTATTTCTACTTGGATTAGAATTCTAATTCTTAGATTAGATTTCTACTTAGATTTTCTACTTAGACTGATCTAGTTTAATTGTTGTTGATTTTAAATCCCTTCCACTTATGGCAAATTCAACTTTTGCACTTTCTTCCCTGCTATCCTACATGAGTTTATGTCTTCCTCTTATCAAAAGCACGTAAGATGTCCTAGTCCTCTAAACTGGAAAAGCAGAGGAGTTAGGAAAAGTAACTTAATCATAGAAGTTCAGATAATCACTTCCTCAATGTGAAACAAACTTCAGCCTGGTTTTAATTGTAAATTTAACAGTGCATTTTGTCAAAAAGCTGTCTAATGTACCAGAATATTGTTCAAAGAATGATGAATGACTTAAAAAAAACCGACCCAGTTTATTTTAAGTGTTTTTCAAGAAGTATTTCAATATGCATTCTCTCTGCAAATATTTGATGTAAAATCATGTGCAAGAGCACAAGCATATCTCATCTGCGTGCTGTGCTTCAAAGCTGACCTCTTACCTGATATAGCTTGATAATGTGGGGATGATTCAAAAGCTTCATTATCTGAACTTCTCTATAAATCTTCTCCAGATTGCTTGGGTCTAACCTTGTTTTGTCTATTATTTTTATTGCAACCTGCAGATTTAAAAAATAATAAAATAAAACAACCCCAGGCTTTACAAAATCTGTACTCTTACTGTTAAGATCTCTTAAAAAAATTAAAAATAAAAAAAAAGAAGACAACACACACACAAACTCACAAAATCCAAGTAAAGTAGCTTTTAAAGTATGGACTTGACAAAGCTGGTTTTGTTTTTCTGAACTGCACAAAATTCACGACACAGAACATTTTTATTTTTCTTTTCTACGTCAAAGGATTACACATAAGGTAGTGAACAGAACCGCAGAAATTAGCACTGGACAGGATTCGGTAAATCTTTTAATCCGTCCCATGCCAGTGAGAAACAGATTCTGCAACAGACTATTTTTTGCTGTAGTGACCGATATGATTTTGACATGCACTAGAAATATAAATACATGCCCATTAATAAATTATTCCTGCAAATAACACCACAAGTTCTTTGTTCTTGAAGCACACGCATTGAATGAAAGAATTAAACCCGTCTGAAGTCTTCAATACATCCTTAATTTGTCGGACTCTTTAGCAAAGTACGAGTAATTCAGTGAGGCTACCGTAACACTCAGAAAGGTCATTTTTTATATATGCCTGCTCGGTTTTCATCTTACGTGAACTCTGTCGAACA